CTGTGATTTTTTCTCAATGGATTGTTATTCACTCTCTTTATTGTAGATATGTACTCTTTCATGCTGAATTATTTTTAACTTGATTGATTACAGTTTCGTTGCATTTATGTCGACTACCCTTTCCTCTTTTACTTATCATTGTGAAAACATTGCATAGTTGATGAGAATGATAGGAAACGTATTAATACTTATGTGAAATGCGTCAGACTTAAACTGTTATTATTTCCACCTTGCGTGAAGTGTTTCAGTTACGTTTGATCCGGTTGCGTTTACTATTAGTATTCACGATTGTTAAGAAAATTGCCGCTGAACATGTGTTTGTACTGTGATAACGAAACATAACCTAGCAAAAGTAGGTTCTCTACGTACACAATTTGTATTGGTAGTCTAGACACTTCAAGTACACTATACAGCGTATATCCTATTTCCCACAAATAGTCTATTATTCTTATATTTTGTCTAACACCACTATCTCAAAGAAAATAATTAGGTAATAAAGCGATAACAACATTACTCTTCTTCTGTTATCATTTCATATCAGTAGGCTCTTACATTACCACATCAACACTTAGACTTGTGTATTAGTTGACTGCGTCACTAAACTTCATTGATTATTTTGTTATCATAAAATACTGCCGTGCATATTGCCTGTTTAAGTTTACTAGCGGAAGCAATTACTCAGAAGCGATACCAGTACACCACCACGCTCAAATTCAATCAAGCACAAATACGACATTTTACGAATGCTACGTCTTCCACACTGGCATCACTTTGTAACTCTACAAACAGTAAGTATTAATAACGTATGAATAGAATGCAAAATTTTAAAAATATTTATTTCGATAAATGCATTCATAATATCACAAATATTTCATCATTCACATAAATATTATCCTTTTTAATCCCATTAGAATGTCTAAATGTGCTGAGTGACTGCAGAAGTAAAAAACATAGTCAGGAAATTAAAAATGACAAAAATTCAGTCAGGAAATGATGAGTTGAATAAAAAACTTAAAACACAGTACCTACCAGATGAATGACTGTCTCTTCACCGTTATCTGAAGAAATAACCAACTCAGTTTTCTTTCTCACTGTGAAATTTTGTAAAGATCATGAAACCGTAATTACCTCGATATTCAACCCCCTTCCTCACCATTTACGTAAAATGCATTTCAGTAATAGGTATTATTTAGCATTTTCTATCATGATTCATATTTTACAACGAATTCCGACATTTCCTATGCACCTCCGCGTGTCAGTTTGATGAAAAGAGAGCATTTTTTCAGCACACTAAAACGACTATTTTTCTCACATTTTACACTTTTTTCTTTAAAATACGGTATTCAAAATGCATTTCTGTCGAAAAAATCGCTAAAAACAACGTAGAATAGCCCAAACACAACACCACGATAACACCTTACATCTGCAGAAATCAGCTGATTTGTGCCTCTATCCTCTGCCGGCGACTAGCCCCAACTCGAATCAACTAAACCGCGCGAACGCAGTCAAGGAAAAGCTAGAGGCGCCACTTCAAATATGGGATATGCCATATAATCGCTCCTTTAAACTGTTTGTCCTATCAACTCTCCCAAGAGAGGGGCTGGTAGAGGTGCAGTTTTTAAGGAGTGCGTGTTTCTGGATAAAAATTCATAGGCCAGTCACTGGGGTGTTCTCGGGCGGCGGCAGGGTTATTGTAGATTACATTATTGTGAAGCAAGTAGGGGTACCCCTTGTAGACCAAGTATGTTTTTTAGGAAGTGCTATCAAATTATAGGCTTTCAAAGTATTTTTAAGTGCTCCTAGCTCTTCATTGAAGTCATTTTAGGAGCTTACGAACTTGGCTGGTTTGAGTGACCCAAAGATTGAGTGAGGCAATGGTATAACCTCACTGGAATAGTGCTGCAACAGTAGTTTTTTAATTTACTGTGGTATGTCCTTGGGATGTACTCAGATTGGTGTTTAGGTAATTTTACCACCCTTATAGGAGCTAAAGTAATAAGGCATAGGGTAACACTCCCACAAAGGGGTTATACCACAGTTTTCAAGGAGTCAGTGATAAAATAATCGTCCCTTTAAAATAATTGAAAGAGCTACTGGACTACTCTCCACCATGTATGGTTGTAACTACGATATTCCATGCTCTCCGACTCGTGTTTATTTCGTGTTTACTGACATGATAATCAAAGATTAGAGTACCATTCCATGCTCGCCACTGAAAAGTCTGTTACTCACGTAAGCATAAACAGAGACTGTGTCCTGCCACAGCACAAGCACTATGGGCGACTGTTTTTACCTACCACTGTGGGAAACCGATTGGTTGGACTGCCTGAACTACTTCGAACTTTCTTCCAGTTGGCTTCAACTAGAAATAACGCCAGTGATTACTGTGTCTCTCTGTTCTGATAGACCTCATGTTTGGCCTAGCACCGCCTTAACTAGTGAAGGGAGAATATAATGCTTACAGCTGCTCAAGAATGTATTCATTTACGATGGCATGAGAAAAGGTTACAGATACACAATAGCACCACAACGCAGCAGCCGCGCTTTTTCCTCTTGAAACCCAGTAGTTTGTGATGTGTTTCAGTCTGTTGAAGGACCTGACAAACTACTTTGATCCGTCACACAATTAGCTAGCACTATGGCGAAGTATTCCTCATTCGGAAAACAGACGGGTTTCGATTACTTTTTCACCGCTATACCTCTTCTTGACATCCGAAAGCTTTATTTAGCAGCCATCAGTACTTGCGTGACTCGTGCCCCTCAGTATCATTATAGTGTCTTAGAATTGTTTCACTGAAGTAATTTGAATGGCAGTATTATCGGGTCTTCATTTTCGCTAAACCAGGAAGAGTTCCGTAGTCGACTATCCACACATGTCGTCTGAGATCTTCCCAGGGACTCATTCATTTTTCGCACTCACGAACAACAGGATGATGTCGGTGATTTAGGCTTCTCTGCATGAACACTTCATAAGATGATCAAATCGGAACGCTGAAATTCATGCACCATCACTACGCTTTTAAGGAGTATAAGCCAAACTTCAACAACTTTAGTCCTTGAAGTCTCCAAAATGATCATGTTGTAGCCGTGCGGAAATCATCTTTAGACCAACTCACTACTCTGTCTGACTTCAATGCAGCCACCAGAATACGGTCAAACACTCGCAACTTATCGGCGGTCATCCTCCTACACTCTTCACCACTTCTTATGCATTCACATATGAACCGATGGCTATGTACGCTGCTAACAGATGGAAGTATGCCAGTAAGTCATGCCTCTAGAAACCGGAGTATAGTTCACATAGATGTGGGTATTAGCAAGATAAACTCTTTCTTCAGCCTTCAAACAGAAGTCAAATAAGCAACCACTTGGATCGAAAACTATCGGAATAATAAATAAAACAATTAACAAATATAGGGTATGTCAATAAAGTAGCTAGCTTGACGTCGTTTCTAAAAATTTCGCCCATATTGGTCAAGTAATAATGACGAAGCACCATAACGACAGGCTCGCGAAACACACGGAACGAAAAAAATAACAGTAGCGAACTAAGCTGCCTATATGAAGTATCAAAGCAACAAAAATAATGTCTTTAAATGATAACCATCAGATATAACGTGATCAACGTGAAACAGATTAATGAGTGGCACCAAAACTAGGATTATAACCTTAAATGAAATCAGTAAATGCATAGACAAAAAACGCTTCAGACATGGTGTAACATGTCCCACAAATATGGCCTTTGAAGGAGCGGAGTGGCTTTAATTTTAATGGTTTATAAGTAGAATTTTATCTTAAAATATAGGAAAGACACGGCACTATGTTATGAAAAATAATTATTATTTTCAAATACATCATTTTTCAGACGTATGTCATACGACACTTATCACAAATCAAAACAAATGGACCTTAATAGCTGTAGGGAATGCCCTAACCAGTATCTTCAGGCGAAAATGTGACTTGAAAGTAGAGCTATCCTGTGTAGTTTTAAACTGAAGACAAGCCACACCACAACCATGTTGTTTATAAAAAAGGACTGTTTCGTGTAGCTGCCGTTAACCGTTTTCTCACAAAACAATCAAGTGAAATATTGTTTATAGCTGTACAGGTCACTATATTAAGCCTATTTGATTAAGTCATTACCATTGAGTATTCTCAACCTTTAACGTCATTGACGAGCTTCTTTATTTCCACTGCATTGGCTTTTTGTTGTTTTCACAACTGGTTTGCAGATCTCCGTGTTAGCGAAAAACAAATTCCCAAACAATGAAGTCGAACTGAGCTGAAACAGACATGAGAGATCATAGAGCAAAGAAAATGATGACAGGTCTATTAAATGTGTTACGGTAGATATCAGGTGTCACTATTGGTTCACGACTAGTCATTCACATCAAGGTGGTCACTTGACTTACTTGTCAAACAGCAGACTAGGCCATTCTGCTGGTTTTCCTTACTAAAATATTTTCGACAGCTATTACACATACACGCTAGGTGACTGTAATCAGTTTAACTAAACAGAACAAGATTAGCTAACCATTGGACTTCGAACTTGGTGAAAAGATATGTCCCTACCGTCCAAGTGTGATTAACTCCTCTGGGGCCAGACGAAGAGCAAGTGGTCTGAACATTCAAAATGATACAGACCAACCGAAATTCCCATTAAAACAGCCAAAACAACAATCACAGGCTTTAAGTAATGATGGTGTTTAGATATCTGCTGTGTTTGGCATCTAGTTATAATATGTATTTGTTTTTATCCTTCTGGAAAAAGCTTTCCGTAAACTTTAATCTTCTTCTGGTGACTAAGCATGACCAAAAGACAGATATTCCAAACACTTTATTCTCGATGAATGTCACATAGTTAGACACCTGAAAACTACCTGAAATTTAAAAAATGTTATGCAAATAGTGCTACTTAGAGCCAGATCCACATTTTAGTTGTCTCTTCAGTCCAAACAATGTTGTGCAGACATTACAACAGAAATCACAAATTGAACATAGAACGTATCGTTTTAAGGGGTCCATAATTACTTGCAGCGCTCCGTAATTGAGTTTGTTGCAAGATGACCACTGAGAATGGTATGTCTACATTTGATATTTACTCTTATTTTCCAGGCGAAATTCGCCGTCCAACGATTGCTGATCGGGAGGATGAATACCGTTCGCGTCGTCGATTGCTTATGATTTCTCCAGCAAGAGTTGACCCTTTTGCAGATGGTATGTTAGAAGGCTTTCTCTCCACTGTTCCTTAGTAATTATTTATTAAGTTTGTACTGCATCTAAGAACAAATTTTTCCTTTTTTGTGTAGCGATATGGTGTCCATCGGGGCTTGTTTTTTGTATAAGGTTAGGGCGTATGGTAAGTGCATATGTTAAGGTGATTACGTACAGTTCTTAAACGTTCTGCGCACTCCACACTCTTTCAGAGCTCTTTCGCTCCATCCAACTGTGAAGCAGCTCCTTGGTTCGAACGCGATGGTCCGGGATATGCTACTCACGTGCGTTATTTTCGTGCTTAATGTCTAATTGTTTGTGATAATAATCCTCAGATGTTAAACTTATCTTTATTTTTGTCTGTGTTCATTTCTGTCCACCACTGACAAATGATTTGATGAATCGACGTTTGTAGGCGACCAAACACCGGATCACCGCTTATCAACTTACAAAGACATCATGCTCAACCAACAACTCAACAAGGAGCAACGGGCGTTACAGAATGAGATAGTTGAAAGAAGCAAAGCCGGGACATTAAGGATGGATACAGAAGTGCCTACTAAGAGGCGTAGGTGGGATCAGCCTACTACAGACGTTAATGGAGCTAAAAATGATGCATCAACTCCTAGCGCCACTCCTTTGACACCCTCAAAACGATGGGATGACGCGGTTACACCTTCACGCCCAGCTGCCACACCTGGTGGGGCCTCGACACCTGGAAGTCGATCACAGTGGGATGACACTCCCGGCAGAGCAAAAGACCCCGGCGCCACTCCTGGACAGAGTGTTCGACAATGGTCCGAAACTCCTCACTTTGCAGCAACCCCTGGTCGTGAAACAGCAGGTTCTGCTTTCGGCGTAAGTTGCGTGAATTTTGATTTCGAAATTTGTTAATCTGTTGGTTTTGCTCACACCGTTTTCTTTATTTTCATCTAGAGCACCCCTAGTGCCAGACGCAACAGATGGGATGAAACTCCTCACACTGAAAGGTATGGTGCTGATACTCCTGGTCATGGTGCTGGTTGGGCAGAAACTCCTAGAGCTGACAGGACACCCGGAGGTGTGGAATCCATACAAGACACACCCTCTTCAATGGCTTATGGACCAGGTTCCACTCCCTCAAGTATGGCTGCAGCAGCTGCAATTGCTGTTAAACGTAGGTCAAGATGGGATGAAACACCACTGAAGGCAGGTTCAACTCCAGGCGGATTAACACCGTCTCTGGTAAGTAACATTTGTTTTCTATGTTTGGCATAAGTAACATACTAAACTGGGTAGGCACATTCATACCACTTATTGTGCCACAATAATATTTAATTCGATTTAGCTCGATCTGCAGGTCTACGTGCTGCATATTATTTTAGTGACACGAATTCAGTTTGCAAAGCACATACGGGACTAGTAAGTCCAGTACATTATCTTTTGGTTGCTGAAGAATTCGTTATGATACATCTTCAATTCTTGTTGCTAGTGCATCTGTCATGCGTACCACGCCTTTATTTGAGTCATTGTCTGAATTAGGGGTGAATTGGATGAGGTAGATTTACTCACCTTTCATGTTGAAAATCCGGAATATTAATTTGCGTCTTTACGTAGTCATCCTCCTGATTATAACATTCTAAGACTTTAAGTTTTGCCTCCTGTCATGGTACCCCATGACCTTCGATCATATTGTCATTATTTTATTTCTACCTACTGGATGTGACGTTTTAATACTAAATCCTATGTTAGTAGTATCTTTTCCATTGTGTATATGTGTAGGCTGTGTACTCTTAAGATGAATTGCTCCATGCCTTCCCCAGAATTTGTTCAATATTTGCCTCTATAATTTTGATTTCCAGACTCCGGGTAGCTTTACACCTTCAAGTGCTATGGGAGGAGTGACACCAAGTGCAACTCCTGGCGGCTTCAATGCGGCAGGAGTTTTCACTCCTTCTGGAACCACTCCAACAGGTTTACGAGCCATGTCAATGGCTACACCTAATTTTGGATCAGCTGCTATAACAATACCTGGTGCAGGAATTCCAATGACTCCCGAACAGTTGCAAGTATATGCTTGGCAAAAAGAAATTGATGATCGGAACAGACCGTTGACTGATGAGGATTTGGATGAATTATTGCCTCCAGGTATGTTTTATTTCGTTTGAACAGTATCCTTCCATTCTGCCCAAACATTTTCAATCACTAGCGCAAAGGCATTGTTTGCTGAAATAGTTTTTTTTTAAAGATTTCTGAGGGATTGACAGTCTTAAGTTTATACATAATCAGTGATAGTGCTCACCCATACCAAAGGTGTTTGTAAGTAAGGGGCATAGTAAACCATTTAACTTCATGTACACAGTAAAAAATGTTAGGTAAATGTCTCAAATTTGCATTGGGTGTAACTTCTAAACTAGATGGTACTAAATCATTTGTGCATTACATGAATGACCACTTTTACAGACTAAAATGCCTACATTTGTGGACCAATCTCTAGCTCAGATTCTGGTCATTTGCTAAGTGACAGTGTCAAAAATTGTCCGTAAGCCAATTCAGCTTATTCATATTTCTATGCGTCACATTAGTAGAGATCAAGACAACGAGCGCTAAAAAACAAGTATAGACTTCGTAGTAGCCAGTAGCAGGACATAAAATGTTCACCAACTTATTTGGAACTCTTAAGCTAGATGTCTCCCTATTGACTCTGAAATTCAACTTAATTCACTTCAGATATTGCATCCCATGTATTAGCTCAATAATCATTCCCGTCGAGTAAAACCAAGAACTTAAACTACTAAAGAGCAGAAGAAGTGCCATTAGGAGAGGAGTAAGTTTTTAAGGTCAGGAGGTTAAGAATTAAATTATTTACAGAAAATAGGTGCACCTGCGTCACCGTTATCATCTAGTTGTTCCGAGTTTTGTTGATTTTAGACGAAGGAACCTACGACTCTAAGTAGTTGACACAGCTGGAGATCATGCACTGATCTGATTACTTTGTAACTTTTGACCACTAAATGACACTTTCAATGCACTAATAGTAACGCAGAAACTTTTGGATCAAGTATACAGTCGCTGTTTTACCAATGAATGTAATCAGAGTACTCTTTGGTACTGTAATACCTGTATTTCATCTAAATGCGTCACTATATATATATATATATATATATATATATATATATAGCAATTTTTTCACTTATATGATTATCCATAATTATACGCTTTAAGATTTTCTGTGCACACGTTCCATACGATTTTCTTCACGATCATGAGGACTGGTGTAGGTATGAATAAGGAGCATTAAAAGTAAATTCGTTACGAAGTTTACCACTACACACTTCCCTATACGATTGTACTAGTAAGTGGAAATTACTATGACAGCCAATCTTATGCTGTGGCTAGTAATTGTTCAAAGTGCTACAATTAGTTGTCAATTTCGTCCCACCTGTCAAACAAGTCATACAGCTAGAATTTCTGTCAACATTTTAGTTTGCAGCAGGCATTCTACTGGCTCAAAATCTACTTCGTGTGGTAATCAGTTGCTTCATCTGCCTGCTGACTTCTGTAACCTTGAAGTAGTTGGTAGGTGTTCATGTCGTAACAAATCAACAGGAATTTTGACCTCTATTTAAACTTTTAACCCTAGCAACATTTATTAAAGGGATACATATGACCAACCCTAAACAAATTTCTTTCGAATTTTTGTAATCACTGGTTATCTCCATTCAGCTACTCGTTGACTAAGAATATGCAGATGATATAGTCCTTTCTAGGTGACGACGCTGACAAAATGCGGAGTCTTCTGAACACCTTGAGCTGCAATCCACAAATGTTCGGCATGCGATTCGCTGCCGCCAAATCTAAGATGATGTTACAGGACTGGGCTAACCTGACTCCTAGTTTAGAAATAGGGAGTGAAGTGGTAGAGCACGTTGACCACTTCACTTATTTGGGAGGTTGCATCAATCAACGCCAGCGGGTTAGTCGCGCTGACGGAATCTCAGCACGGACACAGAAGGCATACACCTGCCAACTTATGCCATCTCTGGCTTAGTAGACGTGATATCCGGCTGGCTGTCGACCAAAGGACGTATGTACTGCTCAGCAGTTCTCCCTGTCCTCCTTTATGGCTGTGAATGAGACATAGCCATTGGAAGTGGAAGACATGAAGAGTCTGGCTAGCTGTCTTTGACTGTAAGTGTCTGCGTTCTATCTCCCGTGTGAAGTGGTATAATGGGGTGAGTAAATCCAAGTTAGGCGTCTAGTGTTTGGCAAAGAGGGGAAATCAATCGTCGAGGTTGTAAAATTACATTGATTGAGATGGTTAAGACGTGTTACACATCCCTATCCATTGCTTTCCTCGACAGGCAGTGTTATCTGACATAGGGTCAGACTGGAAAAGAGCTGATGGTGGTCAAACCAAAACATGGCTTCATTAGTCAGTGGAATCCACAACAGTTAGTTTGAGCCACGAAGGGAGATGTAGACTGCTTGGTTGGGATCTTCTGGATGCTAAGAACCAATGTTTGGAGAAAATTGATGATATATGTCAGTGTCTTAGAAATATTCAGTCTTTTTAATTTGCCATATCCAGTAAACCTTATTGTTCTTCCATTTTACTATTCCTTCTCCCTAACATTTCTGCTTATTATTGTTCTTTCGAATCTCTGTTTTACTCTTGTCTTTGTGTGGGTGTGGCAGCTCAAACTGTTGCACTTCTGTGCAAAGATATGTGCTGGAACCAATTAGTTACAAAATAACATAAAGCTGCATAATGTGGAAAGCCAGGAAAGGTTAACTATCCATTTCCTTCTAATATTCCATCCGTTTGCTAACAAATCCACTCTTCCCTGCGCTTCTTGCACCGATGATTCAACTACATTTAATGGCACAAAAACTTTAAGCCTTTACACGTATATTAAAACTTGAAGGTATTTTTTGGAGTCCACGTCAAACCAACCATTAGTCAAAAGTCTAGCGTCCTACAGTGTTGATACCTACAGTATTTGTGAAGTATAAATAGGTGATCTAAGTGTTTTCGTTGCTTAAACCCTCCTGACTTTTGTAGTAAAACACTCTGGACCCAGTGGTCACTTCGCTTGACCTTGCAGGCTAAACCTCAGTCTTAAATCTTAGGGTAAAAAGCTTTTTGGATTCCAGTTGACACTAGTTAAATGTTACTATGAAAAGTCATCTGAAGTGGTGACGACTAGTGGCGTCCGTCAAGGATGCCCATTATCCCCATTCCTATTCAATTTCATCATAGATGTACTAATGGACTTAACCCTAACTCACTTCAGCGACTCAGGGATTGACTTGCTACCAGGGAAGAATCTCGTTGACTTAGAATATGCGGACGATATAGTCCTTTTAGGCGAGGACTCTGACAAAATGCAGAGTCTACTGAACACCCTGAGCAACAATCTCCGCATGTTTGGCATGCGATTCGCCCCTAAAAAATGTAAGATGATGCTGCAGGATTGGACTTCATCGACCCCTAGATTAGAAATAGGAAGTGAAGTGGTAGAGCACGTTGACCGCTTCACTTACTTGGGAAGTACCATCAGCCCCAGCGGGTTGATCTCCGACGAAATTTCAGCACGAATACAGAGGGCTAGGTTCGCATTTGCCAGTTTTCGCCGTCTCTGGCGTAGACGCGATATCCGACTATCGACCAAAGGGCGTGTGTACTGCTCAACAGTCCGCTCCGTCCTCCTTTATGGCTGTGAGACCTGGCCATTGAGAGCAGAAGACATGAAAAGATTAGCTGTCTTCGATCATAGGTGTCTGCGTTCTATCTCCCGCGTGAAGTGGTATAATAAGGTGAGCAATATTGAGGTTAGGCGTCGAGTGCTAGGTAAGGCGGGGAAATCAATCGACGAGACTGTGAAATTACTTCGACTGAGATGGTTAGGACATGTGCTACGAATGCCTAGTCATCGCCTTCCTCGACGGGCAATGTTAGCTGATATAGGGTCAGGCTGGAAAAGAGCTAGCGGCGGTCAAACCAAAACATGGCACCAATCAATGAAATCCACAACAGTTAATCTAAGCCACGTAGGAAGATGTAGACTTCCTGGTTGGGGCCCTCGGGATGGTAAAAACCAATGGTTGGAAACAATTGGTGACATGGCTCAAAATCGTTCTCAGTGGCGCAGATGCATCCACTCCTTGTGACTTATGACTTCCAATTAAACTTTTGTTCTCCGTTATTACTATTCCTTTGTCTCACACCTCTGTTTACTGTCTATATTATGCATTTCTTCTACTTTCTTCTCTTGCTTTGCGTGCTACATAGATTGTGGCGACTTGAACTGCCGCACATATGTGCAAAGTTCTATGTCGAAAACCGACCGACCGACCGACTATGAAAAGTAAGGAAAGTAGTCTTTTCTTAGTCTACTTTCAACATACCCATTCATTGTTGTTTAGGTTTTCGGTGATTTGATTGGTTTCACCACCTAGAAACTAATCCATTGCTCTTCAGTGACTGACTAAAAGATTTCCTGGAGTTCTGTTGAAAGGTCTCGCTGATGAGTTACAAGTTGGTCAGTGGCAACTGTAATGATGGGCAGAGTACTTAAAGAAGCAGTACAACAGATTCCTAGCTACTCTTCAGTTGCAGCTACTGCATGGGTAGCGAAGAGGTTGATCGTAATCGAGTAAGATGAATTTGTCAATCTAGAGGAGGCTACCAATCCCATATGAGGTGGTCCGGATATGTATTACACATGGCTACCCTACTGTGCTTTGTTTATAGAAGCGGGATTAAGTGAGAAAAGAGTGAATGGCTGTTAGATCAAGATGGCAGCCGTTCTATCAGTCGCTTACCATTGGCTTAAACCTTACAGAGAAGTGTAGATTATGTGATTGATGTCTATCAGACAATGGGAGCATACAGTCAAAAACTGACAACTTAGAATGGGTTTCAGTGATGCATGTGCATCTATCACTTCTTTCTCTTTGTTTTATTCCTTTATTTGTTTTGTCATATCCTTTGTTGCACGGTATTCCTTTGAACGGGTCAGTTCCGTTTCTTTTTCTCCATCTATTCGTCTCATACTTGAACTGCTACATACATCCTAGGTTCCATGCTAAATTATCTGTCTTTCATTTTGGCATTGTACTTTTCTAACGCAGTAGGAACTTTCTGAGGCATTTGTATTATTTGGTTTCAGGTACCGGACATTTAACGACTAGTCAAGCGTTTGTTGAAGTATTTCGTCATGTTCCCCTAACTGGTTGATGTCGGCTAAAGTAACCACCCTATTACTTTTCTTTCGGATTTCATGATCCTTTCACTTCTCACTAAATAAAAATTTGTCTAGAGTTATAGTCACAATTTTTCTGTACTTCCTTCTCTGTAGGTTATAAAATTATGCCTCCGCCTGCTGGTTATGTTCCAATAAGAACACCTGCTCACCGACTAGTAGCCACACCCACTCCAATGATCGGTGGAACCCCGATGGGCTTCAGGATCGGTACACCTGATATTGGCACAACAGCTGGTTTTGGTATGAGTGCAACTGGAGGTAATGCTGCAGCTCTTGGAGACATGCAACCAAAGGGGGTGAATTTGCCTCTGATGAGACCAGATGACTTGCAATATTTTGACAAGCTACTACAGGTAATTCGTTTTAAATAACTCAGTTTAAATGATGTATTTGTGAAATAAGTTAACTACAAGGTGCATTACTTGAAATTTTCGCATTTTCGAAGTTTACAGCCTGTAGTCCAACCGTATTGGAAAATCGAATTAGTCTATTTCATAAAATCAGGGGGGTTTATTTGCTAATTTTCTACCAAGCACTATTAGTTTTTCTTACTAGGGTAAGAGCAGTTTGGAGTACGTAAATGATATGATCCTTTGGACGTTGTAATCCTGTCAAAATGCGAGGCCTTATAAACACCTTAAACAAAAATCATTGCTTTGGGCTCGTAATTTAATTTTGCCAAATGTAAGATGATGTTACATGACTAATGTCATCTGACTAGTATTTTGTAGATAAAGACTAAATTGACCGAACGCTTCTTTTACTCGGTGATTGCATCTGTGGTAACGGACTGGTAGCTGGAATGATATCAGTACCTATATAGATTTTTTCGGCAATCTCCAACTCGTACTACTTTTGACGTCATCAAGATGTCAGGCTGCTTTTGAGAAAGCGAATGTATTGTCCTGCTGTCCTCTCTGTTATATTTTAGCAGCTTTTAAAAGGATTGTCTCTGAAGATTAAAAAACTATCCTATGTAATCTTCGATTTCTCCCTTCCATTGTTCGTGTGAGGTGGAATCATAGTTAAGTATAGATCGGTAATTGAGGGAGGTAAACCAGGAATCACAGCGCTGATTTAATTCTTATTTTAATTTGATGTTGGTTGAGGCCGTAAAGCTACGCTATTAACATAACGACCAAGTAATTTGAGATTATTTTGAGCAGTAATGGCATTTTATTATTCGTCGTGGTTGTCTTTCACCCAAACATCACAATAGTGTATAAACTTCTGGCACCTTGATGCGTATAAATTCAATCATCTAGCATACAAATACGAAATTATCAGAAAAAAGCTAGCGCCAGGTATCTTTATTCTGTGATTCGTCATTAATACCAATTTTCATGCCGTGAATCATACACTTTTGTCAATGTCAGCTTTGTCTCAATTTCATTTCAGGATGTTGATGAAGATTCCCTTCCACCTGAAGAAGCACGTGAACGGAAAATCATGACATTTTTGCTTAAGATTAAAAACGGCACCCCACCAATGCGTAAATCGGCCTTGAGACAAATTACTGACAAGGCAAGAGAGTTTGGTGCCGGACCTTTATTCAAGCAGATATTACCCCTCCTCATGTCACCTACTTTGGAGGATCAAGAACGTCATTTGTTGGTGAAGGTAACTTTAATCTTTCAAGTTTATTGCAATTCTGCTTTTCCGTATACTATGACGTTTGCTGTTTGTAATATTCTCAAAATAACTAACGGAGGCATTTATCGTTTCTAGAATTGTGTCACTAGTCATGTATCAACCCTGGACTCAGTGGTTTTAGTCTGTTTCAAAGACTACTTCGATGGCTTTACTTCCATCATACTGAGGAAAACTTGTTATGTAATATGTGCATCTCATTACTAATACAGGGAAAGAGTGGGAATGTGTTTTTATTTTCAGAAACATTTAAAAACTCATTTGCAATGGGAATCGTGCCAACAAGCATAAGAACCTAGATCCAAGACTTCCTGTCGATTGCCTCCAACTATCTAGTCTAAATACTTGTCGAAATTCCTTTGGGCATGTTAGTCACTTGTTCGCAGTTCACAAAATAGGTGATATATTTTCGGCACCAACTAAACCAGTTCTAGCAACACAAAACCACTTATGCTTCGTTTAACTGAATACCACCCTTTCGCCTTTATTGCCTTATGGTTATAATTATTTTCATCTCTGCATTTTTCTTGCTTTCTTGTGCCTGGATTGTGTGACTCGTCACCTGAAACACTGAATTTTCATGCAGTGAATCGCAGGTTGAAATTCTACCCCTATTTTGATCTTGTGACCTAGTTCACTAAAGATTATCTAGTAACTTAGTTGCATTACTACTGTCTACCTGATTTGGGGTATAACTGTTGGAAATATAACAGTTATGTTAGGTCGTGTCCTGAAGATTTTATTGAGTAATGCGGTTGCCACTGGTCTATCATTTCTAAAAAAATGAATTTGGATTATATTGGCAGGGCTTTGTTTTTTTCATGTAGCTTAAATGCTTTTGTTTCTTAATCTCATGTAACTGTTTTAAATAGCATACCTTCTATTGATTTCTCACTTGAATTAGGCACACGTAATACAGTCCCTAGCAATAGATTTTGTGTTTTGGCTTACTTATATACCAATATAAATAAATACCATAAAATGTCCTAAATTTTATTTCATTTTTTAACAGGTTATCGATCGCATCCTCTATAAGCTAGATGATCTTGTCCGTCCCTATGTGCACAAAATTCTGGTTGTCATTGAACCACTCCTTATTGATGAAGATTATTATGCTCGTGTTGAAGGTCGAGAAATAATTTCTAATTTAGCTAAAGTAAGTTTTGTTCTGGTTCTGTAATCTTTGGTTTAATAGGATTTCGTAGGACATTTGCATACTTCTGTGGTGTTCACTGCGGATATGTTTCATCGGCGATGAGTTTGTTCACCTCACTACAACATTGACCAGTGAAATTTCGATGTGCTACTCGTTACGCCTCATATGTTGAGTCTCAAGAAGAAGAGTAATAAAAAGCTTTTCCTTAAGTTTCATTTGTACAATCCTTTGTTCATTAACGTAGTGGTGGGTAGATGATAGCTTCTTACAAATAAATGTGTATCTCAAAACATAACAGTATCCAACACCTGTTAATTTATTCTTGCCAACTGCCTGGAAATATATGAGCAGCTATCAATTCCCGATTGCCGACATCGTGGAACATGATTATACGCGGCCTATCTGCAGTAGTTTTCGGAATTGTGCCCATATAGAGATCTTATCACGGATTATGAACTTTTCGAGGAGGAGTCAGGATGCACAGTTTTCCGGATCAACATTTTCTGATCTCAGAGCGAAGAGGCAGGCATAACTAGCTTGTAAGCCGTCGGAGGATACACCTCATTGCTGTTACGTCCCTATTGGCTAGCCGTACGATTTCACCTTCAGATCCCGTTGGGTCATTGCGACAGTCAAGCTTGTCCACTATATAAAGGTGGCAGCAATCAGTTGGGGCATTTACCAGCAGAATGAAGAAATAGCAAAATCATCAGAAATTACAAATCAGTGTTATTGTTGCTTAAAATGTTGTAATAAGATTCTTCGTAGAAAAACCTTTAAATTTGTTCTAATTAAATTTTGTAACTTTATTCACAGTTAGCTGTGCGCATTTCATAGACTAGCTATTCGTCACAGTCACTTCATCACATTTCTAATAGATATCGTGTTGTTCACAATATGTTGTATTTTTGAGCTAACTAATTCGTTAGGTTTACATCGTGGCTCTATCGCTACTGTTGTTTTCTTGCCATAACTTGAAGTCACATTATAGCTAGGACAGCCTTTAACAAAGTAAATGTGAGAAGTCATAACAGAAAAAGGATGCAATATGGAAATTCGAGTACCACCTCAAAAAGTATTGGTAATATATGAAAATCAGATTGTCTTAACAGTATGCTTTTACTCATTACCGTACTTAATATTGCAATTATATATTAGCTAATATTGTTTCTTTTTGATAGGCTGCAGGATTGGCTACCATGATTTCCACTATGCGTCCTGATATTGATAACATGGATGAATATGTGCGTAATACAACTGCGAGAGCATTTGCTGTGGTTGCATCAGCCTTGGGTATCCCAAGTTTATTGCCGTTTCTGAAGGCTGTATGTAAATCAAAGAAATCTTGGCAGGCTAGACACACTGGCATCAAAATTGTACAGCAAATTTCAATTCTTATGGGATGTGCAATATTACCACACCTGCGATCTCTGGTAGAAATTATCGAACATGGATTAGTCGATGAACAACAAAAAGTTAGAACTATTACAGCCTTGGCTTTGGCTGCTCTCGCGGAAGCGGCTACACCTTATGGCATAGAATCCTTTGATTCCGTTTTAGAACCCTTATGGCGGGGTATAAGAACTCATCGAGGTAAAGGTTTAGCAGCATTCCTTAAAGCTATTGGCTATCTCATCCCTCTTATGGATGCGGAGTATGCAAATTATTATACTCGTGAGGTTATGTTAATCTTAATTCGAGAATTTCAGTCACCCGATGAAGAAATGAAAAAAATCGTCCTCAAAGTTGTTAAACAGTGTTGCGCTACAGACGGTGTAGAACCTGATTATATCAAGTCAGAGATTCTACCACCATTTTTCCGCAGTTTTTGGACTCAACGTATGGCCCTTGATAGGCGTAACTATCGACAGGTATGTGTTTTGTCATCATTTGGTTTCTGTTGTCACAAACGTTTTGGTGGGATTCGTATTGTAATTACCGATGTCTAATTTAATGTTTATATGTTAACATCTTTGTATGAATTCTTCCTAAAAACAGCTCAACCACATAACTTTTTATTAGGTCTTATGTTTGAAGTAGATTATATAGTCGTCATAACTAAATGATATCTGATAGTTATGGTCTTCACGGTTAAGGGATCACATACCGTATTACAAGAAGGTTGTGAATATCCGGAACTCATCTATATGTTTTCAGTGGTATTCTGCTCTCCAAGTTGGGCAGTTTAGTCAACTATTCTACTAAGTAAAAACCTAAAGTAAATACGTTAAATTTATCTTCTGATTATTACTGGAGTATTATTTTCCAGTTAAGTGATCACTATTTACCCATTCGGATGATTGTAACATACTTTTCATATTTTACCTCTGTAGCTTAATATATATTTAGTGCTGTCAGAGTCGATGCTATAACAAATCATTCAAAGGTAGTCGGTAATTTTAGGAGCTGATGTACCAAAAAAAACGAACTATTCCGTTTGCATTTACTTCACTTTTATTCTGTTTTTTTTTCGTTTAGCTGGTTGATACCACTGTGGAAATCGCAAACAAGGTCGGTGCGGCTGATATAATTTCTAGAATTGTAGATGATCTAAAAGATGAATCGGAACCCTATCGTAAAATGGTAATGGAAACTATTGAAAAGGTGATGTCAGCATTAGGAAGTACAGAAGTTGATGCTCGACTCGAAGAACAGTTAATCGATGGTATATTGTATGCTTTTCAGGAACAAAGTACTGAGGTAAGCAATTTTCGGTATCTATACTATTATATAAGTAGTGAACTAAACTAACCTACTTCAGCTCATAGGATGTGTTTCAGCGGCACTGCTTTGGATTGATTATATAAACAGGTTTTCCATGGACAGTTAAAATCGCCGCTTGTGTTAGGGAAACTGTGATTGGTGACCAAGCGATAATTTATTCGACTTGACGGATACTTGATGTTTACAAGGATTTCAATCACACGTTTTAAACATCAACGTGATGAAACTTCGAGTTGATTTTAGATCATAAGACACCTTCAGTAGTGCATGAGAAGATAGAATTCTGAGTTGATGTAGACATTCAAAAATAATAGAAATCATTACTCTTCCCATATAACAGTGTTCAGATTACTTTTTAACTGATATCAAGCGTCTCAACACGATTGTTACTCAGAGAAGATTAATCCAGGTACCTTGGAAATACTATTCATCTGACTAGTTGGTTTCTTGCTTCCTTTAAGTGTACAAAAGAAACAACACTAAGATTCATTTGCAAGTTATATTTGCTTACAAAATAACAATGTGTGTAAAACCATTGGAAACTAGGATCTAGAAATCTGTTGCACCCTAGATTGAAAATCTTTCCAAACCCACTGACTTTTTAGAAGATTATTAGCTTCAAAACTAATGATCGTAGGGTTCGAACCCAACTCCATCTTCCTGACTACTGGGTAACTGGTTATTGTCACCAGATTTCACAAGAAATATCGCTGATCGCCTGTTGCATAAAAATATGTTCCAGGTTATTGAGTTCTAACAACAACTTTTGAGGGATAAAGAATTTGAACTATGGGGTAAATATACGAAAACTGCGTTTCACCCACTGTGTCAGAATCTGATTGTTCATCACTCACTTTTAACCATTCGATGTCATTAAGATTACTTTGTTTTCCCTTTCCCATATCTTACTTCCACCTTTTATTAGTAAGGGTTGGGAGGATTACACATGTATCTGACTGACTGGGTTTCAACATAGAACTTTGCACAGATGTGCAGCAGTTCGAGTTGCTACATTCCCTCCAAGTAGTACACAAAGCAAGAGAAGAGAGTAAAGAAAGATTCAAAGGGGAGATAATAAACAGGAGTGTGAGACAAAAAGAATGGTAATATAGAAAAACGTAGATTTTGTAAGTCACAAGGAGTGGATTCATCTGCGCCAGCTATTGAGAACGATTTTGAGCCATATCTCCAATTGTTTCCAGCCGCCATTGGTTTTTACCGTCCCGAGGACTCCAACCAGGAAGTCTACACCTCCCTACCCCTACGTGGCTTAAACTTTTGTGGATTTGATTGACTGATGAAGTCATGTTTTAGTTTGACCACCACTGGCTCTTTTCCAACCTGATCTTATGTCAGCTAACATCGTACATCGAGGAAGGCGATGACCTATGTATCTAGTGTACCAAAAGTTCAGTCTTCACTTTGTTTTTTGGAAATCCAGGTCATATACTAGTCCGAAAATCAATTTTGTAACATAAATATGCTGCATCTTCTCTTCTGAATTTTTATTTTGTATATACCTACTAATATGTCGATCGCATAATTGCATCATAAGTTTCCTAAGGTCTGTCGCCTAAACATATCCTAGGGTGACTGTGTGAACCGAACTTTTTTGATTGATGCCTTAATTTCTAATCCACTTTTACGAATGTCAGCTCTTCAAGGTAGCCACACTTTAAAAAAAAACACGAACATACCTATCTTCTTTGCTTTTTCCGTTCATTTAAAAATCTCACTAACACAGTAGACTAAGGTCCTTTATAAACACCTAGGAATGCTATCGTAAGATGTGAATACTATCTTACATATATGTGCGAGACACATTTTGGTGAACAAGGTACCAGTATAGTAGTTTTCCATGATTGTACCACCTTAGACATTGCTGGTGTCCGTGCTGACTGCATTCTGTCGGTCGACTTTGCAATTTGATCACCAAGTTGGCAAAGTTGCTTTTGTGATGCTTTTTTAAATGACTACCTACCTAAGTTGCAGGAGTATTTCACAAAATTATTGTCAGCAATATCACTATGTTTAAAGTGTTAATTAAGAATATACGTGACCCAATATAACGTCTTAACATTTCAGATCGAGAAACTACCCATATAATTCGTTCTCAGTAGCTTACTTACATTAATTGTCATCTGCAAAGTTTTTCCTCAGTATTATTTCTTAGACCGGCTTACTGGATTCTGTGAACACTGATTTTTTTGTTCACATTTTTCTACTAGATACTATTGAATGTGTTTTTATTTTAATTCAGGATGCTGTCATGTTGACTGGCTTTGGGACAATTGTGCAATCACTTGGAAAGCGTGTTAAACCCTATCTACCTCAGATTTGCGGTACAATTTTATGGCGTCTTAATAATAAATCGGCTAAAGTTCGACAACAAGCAGCTGATCTTATAAGTCGCATTGCTGGTGTAATGAAGGTCTGTCAAGAAGAAAAGCTTATGGGACATCTGGGTGTAGTATTGTATGAATATCTTGGTGAGGAATATCCAGAAGTGCTTGGTAGTATTTTGGGTGCACTTAAAGCAATTGTTAATGTTATTGGTATGACTAAAATGACTCCTCCGATAAAAGAATTACTTCCCAGATTAACACCAATATTGAAAAACAGGTTTGTTGCTAGTTTGCTTAACTCTGTTTAGCTATTACATTTTTGTGAATATTATAATTATGTGTGTAATTTACAACTACCTCTAAGGTTCTCTGTAAACATGGACTCGAAAAGACTATTTACCGCCTTCTCCGTCATCAAAGAAAATCACTGACTATATGACTCACAGGAAGTCGCCATTAGGGCATGCAGGAGAGACTTTTCGGTGACGTAATTAATGGCACACTAATTAACAGTTGTTTGACCAAAATCTGCATATGCTGGTTGGACTGTATGCCAACAGAGTTTGGCTGTTTTCATCATTCTAAGTCAATACTTTTTGATATGAAAGTGTCTGCAGTTATTACCCTTGCGCTTCCGATTCTTAGTTGATGCTCCGATATGCGTGATTATGTTTTCATATTTATGTCACCGTTGTTCAGCTTTTGCATCCACACGGAAAGTGTGGACATTCTATGTGATAGCTGCTTGTAAAATAACCTTGGCGAGTATTTTAATAGTAGGTGTAAATGTGCATACTGGAGACACGAGTGGTGAAAAGTTCCCCAATATTTAACGTGTTTATCAGGGTTTTCATGCCAAAAATTCTTTTGTTATTCTAGTACTGTAATAATGTTGTTTGTATAAATTCGTAAGATACAAAAGATCTATACTATTCAGCTTATTGATTCTGATGGTTTTTAAAGAATTTTAATTTGTTTTCAGACTGGATATTATTTGAATTTGTTGTGCTCTAATGAACAGATTCTAGTCACACTTATTTTCTAAACGTTTTCTTATATTTTCTAGACATGAAAAAGTCGAAGAGAATTGTATTGACCTTGTTGGACGGATAGCAGATCGTGGTTCAGAGTATGTTTCTTCTAGAGAGTGGATGCGAATCTGTTTTGAACTCTTGGAATTATTAAAAGCACATAAAAAATCCATTCGACGAGCTACTGTGAATACATTTGGTTATATCGCTAAAGCTATAGGTCCACATGATGTTTTGGCAACATTGTTGAACAACTTGAAGGTTAGTCGTCAAAGTATTTTCAGCATAACTATTATAAGTAACTGCTTATGTACCTGTTCATGTACGATCCCATTTTCGTGAACCGATTCTTCATTGTAACATTAAAGGGTTTCCAATGAGCAGGTGTATTATATCTACTATTTGGTGAGATAATTTCGTATTAGGCACATATGAAGCGTTATAATGTGCGCCGTTTTCTTTAGATGAACTTGTAACTATGTTAGATCTTAAGCAAAGGTCAATAATGCTCATTTTTAGATTTCAACACAGGCGAGTGTTTACAATTTTGTCACCGTTGAATGTAAACCATATGTTTAAGTTTAAAATGCTCATTCTACAGATGAAGTCTGGCAATTGAGTACTCTTCAGAATAATTCTTCATCAGTATATCTAATGTACTGCACTTTGAATATGATCTTGATTTGATTTCAATTTTCTTAACTATAAATCAATTATTTCTTCCGACGTCTATTTTCGTTTCAGGTACAAGAACGTCAAAACCGTGTCTGTACAACCGTTGCCATTGCTATTGTTGCAGAGACGTGTAGCCCATTCACTGTTCTACCCGGTCTTATGAATGAATACAGGGTGCCAGAGTTGAATGTCCAAAACGGTGTTTTAAAATCCTTAGCTTTTATGTTTGAGTATATTGGTGAAATGAGCAAAGACTATATATATGCTGTAACACCTCTGCTAGAAGATGCACTGATGGATCGGTAAGTATTTTGAATATATATATTGACCTTTTTGTTGTCAATTTTGTTTTCGATACTGTTTACTAATTAAAGCTTTTCGTTGTTTCAGTGATCTTGTGCATAGACAAACTGCAATGACTGCTGTCGCTCATATGGCCCTCGGTGTATATGGTTTTGGCTGTGAAGATGCTCTTTTACACCTACTAAACATTGTATGGCCCAATGTTTTAGAGACTTCACCACATGTCATTCAAGCCTTTATGTTTTGTATTGAGGCGCTTCGTGTTGCTCTTGGTCCTAACAAAATTCTTCAGTACTGTCTTCAAGTAAGTTTATTTTAACTCAGTAGATAACAAATTCAAATATGTATCAAGATTTTATAACATTTTTCAACTTCTTCAGGTGTATCTGCTCGTCTTGTGCACTTGATTTTTAAGCAACACGTTACGGAAGCTTCGACTGTATTATAACTACAAGTCATGTTTAAAACAGCAAAAAGTCTTTTTCCTTAATAATTCATTTTTGTGTTTTTCAGAGTTCTGCAGCACTCCATAATAACCACATTATCCTTGTGGTATGAGTTTTAGTTGTCGTTATGAAGGCAGTATTCTATCCTGAGTCAAGCTCTACAAGTACATATTTATGAAGTCTGTACCAGACATCTTTATCTGCACCTGAAATCCCTAAATTTATTTTAGTTTGAAGGCGTTTGATTCCCTGTGTACAGTTTTCAAAACGAACAGCTGTGTATTTTTGGATTTCATCGGCCACCTTATAGGCTTCACGCTTAAAATGTACGGTATGCCCCGTTTGGGTGCCCTAGTAAATTGAGGAATCTCCGAGGACACTTATATCTGTCGCCATACTTTATAGATTCCCGGGAAAATCATACAGACGAAAAAGTGACCAACAACTAGCTAGCTCACATGGTCCCACTATCATTGACGGCATAGAGGTTGAAACTACATCAGATGTCAAGTACCTTGGACTGAGTATTTCCTCCGATCTTTCCTGGTCCTCTCACATCTTGCTAGTGACTAGAAAGATGTTTCGCTTAACGTTCTACGTTAGGAAGTTTAGGCAGTCTGGTATAAAGCAGTCTTTACTTTCTCAGTTTGTCAATTCCTGTATTCTACCCATCCCTCTTTACTGCTCCCCATTAATCTTTCCTGGACTACTTAAGAAAGACTTTGCTTCACTGCATAGGGCACTAAAAGCTGTTAGTAGGGCAAGTGGGATTTCGTTAAACCAACTGGTTAACACAATTGTGGATAGACATATAATGTCATGTAAGAAACTAGCAAATTCTATATTGTCAGACCCCGAACACCCTCTCCATACGCAGCTCTCTCCTTGCATTTCATCTGGTAGAACTAGAAGCAACTATAGGAAGCTATATGCCAGGACTACCAAGTATAAAAACTCCACAATACCTTATCTGGCACAGCTGTTATGTGATGAGAAAACTGTTAGGCATGACACGATCACCTTACTGCGGCACTCTAACAAATAGTTCCCATTAGCTTTTGTTCTCCTTTCTTTGTTACCATTATATTGTTGCTCATATATTCTATTACAGACTAATTTTATATATCATATCCTGTGGTGCATTGTTTAAATATGTGAATGCAATGCTGTTCTTTTTTTTCTTTTATTTCTCTTTTTCTTTTTGTTGTTGTTGCTTTATATTTCTAAATCCTTATAAAATTTATGAGGTAATTAGATGCAATATTGTAATGAACGCTGAAAATTCCATACCTGTACCACAAATACTGTTTGGAATAAAGCCATTATTATTATTATTATTATTATACCTATGCGTGTAAATAACCGGTGAGGTAATTCCACATAATGAGTGATAAAAGTCTCATTGTCCTTATAAAACTGTTGTTCAACTCTGAGTAGATTACTAAGGTTTCAAGAGTTGTGTTTGAAATCAGAAGACATTGCGAAATGGTCGCGCTATGTCGTGAATTGGCAGAAGTTAGAATTCAAGGACCATTGGATCGGGTCCCAGTGGCTTAATGATCTACGAGCACTCTGGCCTTTTAACCAGAAGGTCCTGAGTTCGAATCCCGGTGGGTGCGTACTGCTGAAGAGTCCCAAACTAGGATGGGACAGCTGTCCAGTACTCCCAGGTTTTCCAATGGTTCTCTAACTGATGTCAGCTCATGATGAAATCCTCCATGAAATCAGAATATTAAAAATAAGAGTAATGTACATAACCCTTCTTTCTTCAGACCAATTTACTACTGAGTTTTAGTAGACAAAAAAAGCAACCTTGCAATCATTGTTTAACTTAACTTCTGCCATCTAAGACTTTTCTTCTCCATTTTTAATATTTCAGGGTTTATTCCATCCAGCTAGAAAGGTAAGGGATATGATGTGGAAAGTGTATAATACAATTTACATTGGTAATCAAGATGGTTTAGTCTACGGATTCCCTCGCATCGCTGATGAAGAAAATCACACATATATCCGGCATGAATTATCTTATATTTTGTGAAAATGTTTTTATCAGTACCCTCTTCCTTCAGTGCATTCTTACTTATTTTTACTCTTATTCTCTTGTGTTTTGTTACTATTCTACCTACAATGAGTTTCCGTGATCCATTCTCTGGATTTACTTTCTTCCCTGTTAAACACACATACACACAGCATTGTGGTCTTGTAATTAAATTATTTTTCCCCTGATTAATATAGATCAGTTGAATTGACTGACGTCTTTTCTTATCGTCATATGATGGAGTTTTTTTTGTTTTGTTTACCGCATGTTTGCGACAATGGTTTTTACTAGGAATCAGTGGTGTGTAGATTAAAGTGTTTATAACGTATTGTTGTATTCCATAGTTAAGGTGTAACAATCAACACAAGTACTACCACTTCTACTTCAGTTACATAAATCGATTATATGAGGTTAATTCTAAATGCGTATATAATTGTTTCACTTAAGAAATCGTTTAAAAAAACATTTTCTCACCAGCATTAGTAGGTCAAAGTATGAGTTGACAGACGAATTTTAATAAGGTTTAAGCATCTATAGAGACGAATTATCGACATTTTAACCCCTAGGTGTCTTGGGAATTACGTTCGTGGTGGGATTTGTCATAATATTTGTGAAATTGCTGATTAATCAATAAAAGTGACTAATAAACCCCGGGTTTAAAATGGAAAATGAAGATCTCCCCTTAGCATATTGTTCTTTACACAATATGAAATCTAGCACAGGACAGTACTATGTGGAAAATTAAGGAGAAACTATATAAATTATTGTATTTCAATGTTATGCGGGGTCGGGTCTGCATTAAGAAGAACATCTTTCATATATATAGGGAAGTATTGCGAAGCCTACTAAACGGAACAGTGGCCAGTTGTTGCGCAATCTCACCAAGTTACCTCTGAAGTAAAATGTTATGCTGGTGAAAATGAATTGCTTACGACAGTAATGCTGACTCAAAGGCATTTTTCCACACCTAACCCTTTAAGGCATAATTCAAGCGAATTTTGGGTACCACCACGTTGTTGCATACCGAAGCGTAAATATTAAATTAGATTGCAGTAAACTATTAACTAGGAAATGGAGAGGTGTGTTCAGTGGACGCATTACTTCACTGCACTTAGATTAAAAAGACATTTGAGTCGTCTCTTTGACAGAAATTATGAATTAGATTGCCACAAAAACACCTAATGTTTCTTCTAATAAACTAGAAACCATTCAGAGTGGGGTGGATTCATTCGTATAATGTCTGTCAACTGTAAAAAGACTAGACAAAAAGCCGTAGAGAACATCAGATCTTCATAATTCAGTAAATGTTCCTAAGTATTTCGCTGACTGATTGATTTGCATAAAAGTACCTTGGTACAAGCGAAAAATAAGGGGTGAGACAAAATGGCACTACACTGGAAAAATGTGGATAGCATAGGCAGAAGAAAAGTAATGAGGGTTAGGAAGATAAGAGAGTACTAGGTACCACTATGTCATGTTGACGAATGATATTTATCCATCTAACCAAGGATCCTCAAACACTGAATTTCAGAAGCCTAGCCAAGTAATCTACACCTCCCTCCTTATATGTCTGGAGCCAACATTCAATCACATTATGCATTGGTGTTACTTCTGGCCCGCTCAACTCATTTTTGACATAGTTCTGCACTATACAATACTACTGGTCTAGAAAGACAATTGTTCGCACGTATAACATGTCCGAGCCACCTTGATCGTTTCAGTTTCGTGTCACTACGTCGTATCTCATCATTGCGTTTCGTACTGTTCAAGCTAAATCGAACAAGTGAACAAAATCACCTACGGTAAAGGGTCTCTAGTTTTTCAATTTTTTTTACCTTTGGTGGTGTTCATAGTTGAAAAAGTGATATTAGGAAATACACATTTCATTTTACGGACAGCCAAGACGATAAAATTTGGCAAATGCTAAGTGAATCTTTTGTGTGCATATTAAGATTTCAACACCAACTAATTCATTTGGACCGATGCTATTCACCAAATAAGTGATCTATGTAAAGTATTCGACCACTTTACATCCTATACACTTGAAGAGACGTCTGCGTTGTCAGTCCTGTTGCATTATCTTAAGTTAAACCATGAAGCGTATGCCGAACACTCACTTTACCCCAGTGTGTCTTTGGCATCTACACCTGAAGTGAATATATCGTCTATATACCCTAAATCGATGGGATTTTTACCCGGTTGTAAGTCTTATTCGTGAAAGGTTGAAATCAAGTGCTTCTACACCTAAGAAAAGCGTCATTAAATTCTGATCTCTGTCATTTCAAAACTATACTCGGAGTTTCCTATTACTTGATTCACTTTCGTACAGTGATTAGTGAAGTCGTTTCTTTCCTGTCACATCGTTTATTTACACAAACCGTCAACATATTACTCGTCACTGAAGCCCTACTCTTCTCTAGCTGCATAATTATAATAGTGACCTTTTGGTGTTCATTACAAACGAGTTCTTATTTATAATACTGAAATTGTTACTTAAAAATTAAGGATGATGATTTTGTATCTGTCTACTTCTCCAAACTCCATACCTTCACAATGTGAAGGCATTCTTACCGGCGTCCAACAACAATTATATTTCTTGACCTAAAGGTGGCATTCGATTCTGTCGACCGAGAGGTACTCTGGCGATGCTTTGCTGTGAAGGGAATGCCGAGAAAATACATTGCACTGATCAAGGCACTCTACTCGAATTCATACAGCCAGGTGAGAGCTTACGGCGAGTTGTCATCTGAAGTGGTGATGACTAGTGGTGTCCGTTAGGGATGCCCATTTCTTTTCAATTTCATCATAGATGTACTAATGGATTTAACTCTAACTCACTTCAGAGACTCAGGATTGAATTGCCACCAGGGAATAATCTCCTTGACTTAGAAATATGCTGATGATAAAGTCCTTTCTAGGTGAGGACGCTGACAAAATGCGGAGTCTTCTGAACACCTTGAGCTGAAATCTACGAATGTTTGGCATGCGATTCACCCCTGTAAAATGTAAGATGATGTTATAGGACTGGACTACACTGACTCCTAGTTTAGAAATAGGGAGTGAAGTGGTAGAGCACGTTGATCGCTTCACTTATTTGGGAAGTTGCATCAACCAACGCCAGCGGGTTGGTCGCTGACGAAATCTCAGCACGGATATAGAGGGCTACTTTTACATATGCCAGTTTATGCCGTCTCTGGCGTAGACGTGATATCCGGTTGGCTATTGATCAAATGGCGTGTGTACTGCTCAGCAGTTCGCTCCGTCCTCCTATGTAGCTGTGAGACATAGTCATTGAAAGTAGAAGGTACGAAAAGGCTAACTGTTTTTGATCATAGGTGTCTGCGTTCTATCTTCCATGTGAAGTGGTATAATAGGGTGAGCAATAATTGAGGTTAGGCGTCGAGTGCTAGGTAAGGAGGGTTAGGACATGTGTTACATATGCCTAGTCATCGCCTTCCTCGATGGGCAATGTTAGCTGACATAGGGTCAGGCTGGAAAAAAGCCAGCGGCGGTCAAACCAAAATATGGCACCAGTCATTGAAATCTACAACAGTTAGTTTAAGCCACGTAGGGGTAGTGAGGTGTAGATTTCTTGGTTGGGGTCCTTGGGACGGTAAAAACCAATGGCTGGAAACAATTGGTGATATGGCTTAAAATCGTTCTCAATGGCTGGCGCAGATGCATCCACTCCTTGTGATTTATGATTTCAAATCAAACTATTTCGTTATTACTATTCCTTTGTCTCACCATAAGAGAAAGCGATTTGCTTGCATTTCCCTACTAGACTGAAATCAGTTGTCGAAGTCTTCCTCTAAATAAGCGCCGTATCTCGTTTCAAATTTTAAAGTATTATACAATTATTTCTGATTTTGAGAGGAGTAGCCCATCCCATTATCATCTATATTCAATAGTCTGTAAGCTTTAAATCTATTTATATTAGGAAATGAAATGGCACAATCAGTAAAATGGATCCTCAGACTTTTTGGAGTAGACATAGACGGAATGCGAAATGTCTACATTGATGAAGGCAGCGTATTTTGTGGTTTTTGTACCTGTAACCTAGACAAAGCAAATCAATAATTCTCTATGGATACAACGTTTCTTTAAATATATGCAATAATACACTTACTAGCCTCATATATTAATTAGTAAATCATTCAAATCTATTTTACAACATGTAACTTCAAAACCACCCTGTTGACTATCAATACAATTGCATAATACATATCATAGGCTAAATATCCCATTAGACAGTTGAAGTACATGTATGATAAAGTTTATTTCTTTGCACTGAACTTGTCTTCTTCATTGGTGCATATTTAACTGTTCCAAGCAAATTCTCATTGGATCTCTTAGATTTATGCATAGTTTTTAATTTCATATCATAATACCAATAGTTTGATATTGGAAAGTCTATATTATCATGTAAAATTTGATGAGTAGTGTAATTCTTACGTTTTACCTTCTTTCTTTTACTATTAACTTTGATGTCATTAGCATAGCCTGATATTGTATCACGTTGACTGTTTGTTTTGTGTGAAAACACTAAGGACATTGAGGGTGATAGTGACGAGTGAACTAACTTTTCTGGCTTTTGTGTTTCCAGCTTCTGTTTCGGTTTAATCCTTTTATGCTTGGATTCCTCGCTCATATTATATTGATCATTGATGTTAACTCTTAACACATTCGACTTTGAATGACAATAACTATTTGTAACGTTAAAATTTACACCTTTATTATCATCATCCGCATTACTAGGCATAAGATTATGCATTTTATTATATTCTAAATTCATATTTTCCAATACTGCTTCATTTCCTAATATCCATGATATATATTCGCCTAAAGATGCTATTTGACCTTGAACTGTTGTTGTTTGAATAAATGGATTGAATAATACATAACCTTCATCGTCATTTTCATTGTTATTATTATCATCACTATCATTGAAACATTCATTATTAAATGCAGTTATACTTGTCTCTGGATAATGCATACATCTTATTAAAGTTGATTTAATTTGTTTTAATACTTCTTTTTTATTGATCATTGAATTTTCTTTTTTCATTTTGTTTTTTTCAAATTGATATGATTATTTCATTTGACTCATTAGACTCATCTGTTTGGTATCGTTGTTATTTCAACTATGATTTCACCTTATATTCTAATTAGTGTGTATTCTTAATTCACTGTCTTCACACACGTACATATATATATTTATATTATCACACTTTATCATAAATTATATATATACAGAAAATTTTCTTTTAATGTAGAATAAAACTTTCTTCTATTTCTTTTTTTTTTATCAATACTTATTGATTGTATTTAAGTCAAGATATGATTGTTCCAGCCTTTCTACGTACCATAAATATTATTTTTCTCTGAAAATTCAAGTTTCAGTTGATGTAAACACGTTGACATGTTGTATTAACCAGGCGCTGACGAAAGCCTTCATATGTATATATATACATTTATCGATCAATTCTTTTTGATTTCTATAAATCACGTGATATGACTAAAATGTAATATTAATTAGTCCATTCTAAATATAGAAAGTTATAAGTAGTATATGTGTTTTATTCTAACTGTAAAGTTTTAAAAAAATATGCATAAAATGTTTTATATGATAAATAATCTTATTCACAATCCTAGAAGTTATTTTTTGAGTTTAATTAAATTGATGACAATGAAATATGTGGAAGTTATGATTTAAGTATTGATGTAGTTGTGTTCTCTAAGCTGAGATGATTTATTTGCGTAGGTTTCATTATCATACTCGACAACCTCTCTTTATTTCAGACTGCGTTGACTCCTAATTTAGAAATAGGGAGTGAAATGGTAGAGCGTGTTTACCACTTCACTTATTTGGGAAGTTGCATCAACCAACGCCAGCGGGTTGGTCGCTGACGAAATCTCAGCAAGGGTACAGAAGGCTCGTTTGGCATATGCCAGTTTATGCCGTCTGTGGCATAGATGTGATATCCAGCTATCGACCAAAGGATGTGTGTACTGTTCGGCAGTTCACTCTGTCCTCCTTTACGGCTGTGAGCAAGATATGGCCATTGAAAGCGGGAGACATGAAGAGCCTGGCTCGCTATCTTTGATCATAGGTGTCTGCTTCCTATCTCCAGTATTAAGTGATATAACAAGGTGAGTAGTATCGAGGTAAGACATCGGTTGAGTGCCAGGTAGGTGGGATGGGAAATCAATCGACGAAGTTGTGAAGTTACATCGACTGAGATGGTTAGGACATGTGTTACGCATGCCTAGTCTAGCTATCGCCATACTCGATGGGCAATTTTAGCTGACAACTGTTAGTTTAAGTCACGTAGGAAGGTGTAAACTTCCTGGTTGGGTCCTCGAGATGGTAAAAACCAGTGGTCCTGGAGACAACTAGTGATATAGCTCAAAATCGTCCTCAATGGCTGGCGCAGATGCATCCACTCCTTGTGACTTATTATATCCAATAAAACTATATTTGTTCTTCGATATTACTATTCTGTTTGGCTCATGTCTCCGTTTACTCTTTACTCTCTTCTCTTGCTTTGTGTGGTACTTGGAGGGAGTGTGGCGTTGAAGCCAGTCAGTTTCAGACTTTAAAAGGAATTAAGTTGTTTCTGAATTCTCTGTGAATGATATAACTATGCGCTGAAGATATTGCTTAGAATGATAGTGAAAGCTTCATAAATATAAACCCTCCAGTCCAGATAACACTACTCTACTAATAACAAAGTCATCCACCTGAGATACAAATCATCTCCGTCGTTTCTATATCATGATTTGGATGTTGTTGTTTTTTTGTATGACATTGTAGTGATTTTTACGAGTTGATCACGGATTGATATCAGTTAGAGAACCATTGAAAACCAGCAAGGAGTACTGGACAGCCAGTTGTTCCGTCCTAGTTTGGGAATCATTGGCAGCACGCACCCACCACAGCGGTTCGAACCCAGGACCTTCCGGTTACAAGGCAACCTCGTATACCATTCAGCCACTGGGACCCAATTTAATGGCTCATGAATTCTAACTTATACCAATTCGTGATTTAGCGCAACCCCAACCATTGTCGTTGGTGGGACATCCATCCACACACGTGACATCTAATTGGACCTCACTGGTCACGACTTCTCACTAGAACTCCAGGAAACTTCATCCTGTAGCAAGTCACTAGCGAGCATCAGATTAATTTTCTATACATGAATAATTCCCATTCGGACATTAGTAGACAAAAGACAAGTACTTGTCTTTTGTCTACTAATTTTCTATAGTTTGGTTTGTAAAGGTTAGTTATGTTTTTACGAGTTGAAGTTAGAATTCATGAGCCATTGAACTGGGTCCCAGTGGCTGAATGGTATACGAGGTTGCCTTGTAACCGGAAGGTCCTGGGTTCGAACCGCTGTGGTGGGTGCGTGCTGCCAATGATTCCCAAACTAGGACGGAACAACTGGCTGTCCAGTACTCTTTGGTTTTCAATGGTTCTCTAACTGATATTAATCCGTGATCAACTCGTAAGAACATAACTAACCCTTACAAACCAAACTATCGAGAATTGTAGAGATTGCAAAGAAGAGAGATTAATGTGTTGTACTTTTTTTTAATTATCAAATTTACATACGAGGTTATTGCATCACATAGAAAATCTTGATGCACTTAATCTAAATCATCCATAGCAAAATCTTTATTAATGTCTGGTCAAAAAATGAATATTGATGGGCTGTCAACTAACTGGTCACGAGTTTGATAACGTTTTTGACCCAACGATATCTGAGCAGCCAAGCAGTATAACCAATCGATCCAAAACTAGTAAAATAAATTATGTGACAACTACTCTGTGGTATTTATTGCACAAAATGTCAATGTTCAGGTTGGATGGAACTCATGGAATTATGTCTTACAGGACTCATTGCAGCACTCCCACCTTAAGGAAAATCGAAGAAAGATATCTCATGGACGTCTTCCAAAAGAATGGATATCAACGGAATTTCATCAAAAGACATATACCCCCAAGCCAACCTATCAATCCAAAAGCCCCCAAGGAAAGCACAAAGAAAATCGCCTTACCATATATATAAAGGATATCTCAGAAATCACTGCAAGACTCTTCAAACCTTTAGGAATTGACGTCTCACACAAATCAACAAAGTCACTTCACTCAATTCTGTGTCAACCAAAAGACTCAACAGCGAAAGAAGATAAAACCAACGTCATCTACAAAATAGATTGTATCAACTGCGAAAAACACTACACTGGCCAAGGTGGACGTCCTCTTTGTCTTCGCATCCACGAACATATGTTAGCTGTCAAAAGACATGATATCCACTCCCTCATTTCACTACATACAAATAACAATAGACATCAATTCTACTGGGACAACGTTCGAATATTAGACAGAGGAAACAACAAGAATGCTAGAGAATTTTTAGAAGCCTGGCATTCCAGTGAATCATCAATCAATAGACACATCGAGATAGACAAAATTTACCAATCGATGAGAAGGGAACTTCACACACAAAGTTCAAGTCAAAGAAACAGTGAGTTACAATACAAATAACCTACAAAAACAACCAATCACGTCCAAGGTCACCAGGAGAGATGATTAATAAACTCGTGGAGAAATCTAAAAGCTCACTTCAAATTGAAGTATGCGCTGAAGATGTCGCCTAGTAGGGCGATGAAAGCTTCGCAAATTAACTATCCAGCTCAGAGAACACAACCACATCAAAATCACCCACCTGAGTTACAAATCTCCTTTATCATATCTTACAACATACTTCTAATTCAATACTCAAACACATGAACAGACAAAAGGAGCACCTATGGGATCACCCATATCAGGATTAATAGGTGAAGCCGTTATGCAAAGATTAGAATTAATAGCCCTAACTACAATTAAAACAAAATCCCGGGCACGTTACGTTAATGATAAATTTGTAATAATTAAAAGAAATGATTTGGAATATATTCGTAAATTAATAAACAACATATTTGCAGACATCAAATTCAAAAAAGAAGAAGAATTAAACAACAAAACTGCATTCTTAGATGTCTTAATCAATAGAGCTAACACAGGGAATTTAGAAACAAAAGTATTCGGGAAACCATCTCACACAGACCAAATAACCCATTTGCTCACAAAGGAAACTGTGTTCAGACATTGTTTAAATGAGCCATAACACATTGTAGCACTCCAGTGTTGAAGGGAATGGAGGAAACACACCTACTAACTGTCTTCAGAAAGAATGGATACCCATAAAATTTCATCAAAAGTTTTTAAACTCAAGTTGTAATACCAACAAGAAAATTCATTCTACCCCAGATACAAGGAATATCTCTGAGATAACGGCTAGAATACTAAAACTATTTGAAATCGATATAGTACACAAGCCAGCAGAATTGGTTCCTTTACAATATTGTGTACACCAAAGGATTCAACAGCAAAAGAAGACAAGATCAATCATATCTACAAAATGAATAGCTATAAACTGTGATAAACATTAGACTGGTCAAAACGGATATCCCTTTCCACTCAGAATCCAAAAAAATTAGCTGTGAAGAGACACGATACGTATTCTTTCAAATCGATGCATGTAGACAGTTATGGCTACCACTGTGATTGGGTAAGTGTGGAAATAGTAAACAGAGGAAACACTAAAAACGCCAGGGGATTTCTAGAAGCCTGGTACTTAAATGAATCAATGATTAGCAGACACATTACTGTAGATCAAATCCATGAATAATCCCCATCCAGACATTGATGAAAACCAAAAACACTAATCAAAACCAAAATGTATTTTGTTTTCATAAAGAATAAATCACATGACAATAAAGTTCAAATTACAAGTCAATAAAAATGATCAATAAAGATGTGAATTAACAACCAATCACGAAAAAGTTTGTCTGTCAGGAGATACAATTACATCGCTCACAGTGAATTCAAATAGGTTCACTTTATATTAGAACTTGAGCTGAAAGTGTTTTTTCTAGAATGACAATGGAGGCTTCACAATCAAATTAATCAGCTCAGAGTACACAACCAAATCAAAAAGAAATAGTATAATCAGACGT